TTTTCTGTGATTAATTGGAGATCAGAGTCTATGCACTTTCCAGCCTGGGCCGGCTTGGAACCGTGATCCTCAGATCTCAGTCTCCTGAATAGCGAGGATTATAGGAATGAGCACAGCTGGTTTTGTCTTTTTGCCTGTACTAGGACTTGAACTCAGGATGCTTTTTAGCTTTTTCACTTAAGGCTGGTGTTTTACTACTTGACCCACAGTTCTACCTCTACAGTTTCTGAAGAGTATGCTATACAGAGGTTATTTTTTTTCCCCCACCACCATTTTCTACATTGGATTAGGTCTGCTCCTATGTCAAAACGTCAGGTGACAGGACTTAGATATGTAGCTCAGTTAGGCAGTATGTGTGCTTGGCTCTGGCTCTATCCTTTCTACCACAAAAACAGTAACAAAAATCAAGAAGTTCTATAGTTTTTGCTCTTCAGACACTTAATTCATTTTGACTTTTTTTTTGTAATGTGTAGAGAGGGGCTCAACTTGCTTGTGTATGTCTGTCTCACACCTGTAATCTCAGCTATTTCAGGAGGCTGAGATCTGAGGATCAAGGTTCAAAGCAAGCTCTGGCATAAGTCTCCAAACTCTATCTCCATTAATCAGCAAAATGACTGGGAGTATGGTTCAAGCAGTAGACTGCCGGCTGTGAGTGAAAAAGCTAAAAGCTCAAGCTGTAAGTTAGGATTATTCTAACAGACTCTAAGTCACTCGAATTTCTCTATGAATTCATATCCTGAAAAATGGGGCAAAAAAGGCTTCTATGCTAACAGGGATTATGCACATGTGTTGGTTAGAATTGGTTGCTTTTAGCTGAACCAAAGCCTCATCAAAGCAGAGTGGACTGCATTTAAATTTGATTCCATCTAAATGTTACTAAGATATAAGAGAAGTCTCATTCGCCTTTGTCTTCTACTTCTGTGTTCATTTTTTTTTAACTTTTGCTAGAGTGTCCACTATACAAATCAAAGAATTACAGTACATGTCACCCCCAGAATCTATAAATGTGTTCCTGGCTCACTCTGTAAAAGCCTAGTAGAATTATCATTACAAACACATTTGCCCATCCACAATATTTGAAAAGAACTTGAGTTTCTATACCTTCATAGGAAAAAAAAAATCTGTTCCATTTTATGGAGGAGCATATTTTGCTGGTTTGAAAGAATATGATGCATACAGTTTTCTAGCAATTTTCTTTGTTTCTTTTTACAGCAGTATCTTTGCTGTACTCTTGCTGATGGCTGCTAGATTTTAATTTATTTGTTTCCCTACTTGATAACATTAGTGATTCTGATTTCAGTATTTCATTTGTTTTTTCCTCATGTAACATTGGTGAAGGATCCAGGAATATGACACAAAGGTGGAATAAACATTAATTTTGTGCAAAAAAAGAGAATTGGTTGCTCTTTTGGTTGGTGATGTGGCTTGTATTGCATGAAGCCCTAGCCCTGGGTTCAATTCCTCAGTATCACATAAACAGAAAAAGCTGGAAGTGGCGCTGTGGCTGCAGAGAGCTAGCTTGAGCAAAAGCAGCTCAGAGACAGTGTTTAAGCCCCTGAGTTTAAGCCCCAGAACTGGCAAAAAAAAAAAACAACTTATTTTTTTCTTTTTTGATGTGTTTCATGTAAATAACTAGTACACTTATATAAACTTTTTTTTTTTTTCTTGGCCAGTCTTGGGGCTTGAAGTCAGGGCCTAGATGCTGTCCCTGAGTTTTTTTGCCCAAGGTTAATATTCTACTTCTATTCTTTTGGTAGTTAATTTAAGTGTCTTAGATTTTCCTGCCTAGGATGGCTTTTGTATTTCGATTCTCAAACCTCAGCTTCCTAAGTCAGGCTGTAAACTCTTAATAGCCACTTTACCTACTTAAAATACTTTAATTTAAACTGGGCATTAGTACCTCACCCCTGTAATCCTAGCTACTCAAAAGTCTGAAACCTGAGGATCATTGTTAGGTTTAAAGCCAGCCTAGTCAGCAAAGTCCCTAAGACATTTCTCTTCACTTAACCACTAAACAAACAAAAACAACAAAAAACAGCGATGGTTCAAATTGTAATGTGAAAATGTCAACAACTTTAAAATTGGTCACTATTTTTTCAGATATGTGTACCTCTAAATACTAGATTTACTGCACTATCCCAATAGGATGTTATATGAAACCTGTTTAAATATACTAATAACACATAATTGCTCTTTTGTACATTATTAGTTTTATTCATGTATTTATCACTTGCTCGCTCTTTGACAACTAGAACTTTTCTTTTACCTCATGGACTTCCTTTAATGAGGCCTTTCTGATTACAGTTACTCATATTTTAACACCTTACTTGAAAGGTATTTTTGCAAGGCTTACAGTTTTAGGTTGATAGTCATTTTTCCTGGCCATATTAGAACTGTCCTTCTGTTGTTCATATGATTCTTCTGCTACTGTTGGGAAGTGACCAGTCAATTGAACCTTCTTTCTTTTGAAAGTAATCTGTTTTTTTCTACTCCTAGCTGCTCAACTCTTGTCTATGATACTTTTCTTCAGTTCTGTAAACATTCTATAGACTACCTTTTTTAAATATTGGCTCTTCACCATACCTTTTTCATTTCTGGAATTCTGACTAAATATGTATTATAGACATTCTCTATTACTCTATGTATTCCAAATTTATTGCTTGTTTGTTTTTTCAAAAACTAAAAGGCTTTATAACAAAATCTACTCAAGGTTTACAAGTGATCCAAAACTTACCAAATTCTATTATTATTTTAAGGTATGGTGCTATTGTTTTTGCTCATTCTCAGGTGTGACATTTCATTTCCTTATTTGATTATTAACTCTGTGTGCTGCTCTTTTCTTGAAATATGATCTTCATTGGCTTATGGTAGTTGTCTGTGAAACCAATAGGCTACAGTCACTTTAAATTTACAATTAGGGGTTACTTTAGTCACCAAGATAGTGTGAATCTTCATCCAAAAGGTGTGAATCCAGGCTGCCTAACTCCAGGTTTTCACACAGAACCACCAGGGAGTACTGTATTTCATAAGGAAGAGGGTGGGGAAGCAAATTAAGTTATCTTTTACTGACAGCTTATTCCTTTTTGGTATAAATTTAATAGCACAAGAACTTATTTAAGAATCCTCAATTTCAGGGGGGGGAAGATGGGGGAGCAGGGGGAGGATGGGAAGGGATGGGGAGGGGAAACAAAGGAGGAGGCTACAATGTTTGATAAGAAATGTACTCCTCATTACCTTGCCCATGTAATTGTAACCCCTCTGTACAGTATTTTCATAATAAAAAATAAATAAATAAAAAGACCAAAAAAAATAAAAGAATCCTCAATTTGGGCTGATCCCAGGCTTGTGTCTTTCACCTGTTTGTATAGTTTTTGCCAGGGTGACCTATTCAAATTCCCCATATTCTACGCGCGCACGGCGTGCGTGTGTGTGTGCATGTGTGTGTGTGGTGTATTTTTTTTTTTTTTGTCAATCGTGGGGCTTGAATTCTGGGCCTGGGGCTGTCTCCCAGCTCATCAGCTCAAGACTAGCACTCTACCACAGCACCACTTCTGGTTTTCTGGTGGTTAACTGGAGATCAGTCTCATGGACTTTCCTGCCTAGGCTAGCTTTGAACTGTGATCCTGAGATCTCAGCTTCCTGAGTAGCTAGGATTATAAGTATGAGTCACCAGTGCCCAGCAAATATGCCAAATTCTTTCCCACTCCAGATCATGGATACTTATTCCTTTCTTCTTGGGATATGATTCCTTGTTTTTGCATGGTTAATCCTTGCATTTCAGATTTCACTATAACTTGATTCTATCAGATGACTTCCCCGATTACCTAATGCAACACTATCTTGAGTTTTTTAAAAAATAATATTTATTATAATTAATGATTGAGTATTTACTGTATGGTCATTTAAGTATCTGGAACATTTGCTAAATGATCTCGCTTCTTTTCAATATACCCATGGGAAAAGTATAAGTCTTACGAGAAGTGACACCAAAGAAAGTGAAGCAACACTGATTACACAGGTAAGAATCAGGTCAAGATGGGATAGATGCTCAGATATATCCATAATGCTTAAAGTTAGGTGACAAAGATTACTTTATATTATATGTAAATTATATAACATATAAGGGAAAAGGAAGAAAGAAATGAGGAGCCAAAAAAGAAAGCCTATATCTAATTGATGATGTGAAGCCCATGGGCAAGGAGTTCCCTCTATTCTGCCACAGCCGACCAGCTTTCCATTCCATAACTGTAACTATCTCTGACCAGGATAATGTTCCTGTTTGGCATAAAATGTTATATAACTTTCCCTAATCATTTTATCTCACTACTTAACTTCCAGGGCCTTTCTGAAAACTTTAATGGCAGAAAAAGATCCCTTGTTATCTCTGTAGCCTTTTAATTCATTTCCAAAGAAATGCAGTTATTCAGTAAACTATTGCATATATCTCATTATTCTACCTTGACTACCAGGATAAAAGCCACATTTTAGGGCAATATGTAAGTTAGCTAGAACAAGGTTTCAGGTATTTATTATATTTATAGCACCACAGTAGTGGCTGAGCAAGGAGAAATGCCCAGTTTCATACTCTCCTATCCCCACACCATTTCTACGGTTGCAGAGCTACATCACATACTAAGATACAGTGGCATCTCTAGAGCTACTAGCCCATGCAGCTGTGGTAATAGCCACATTAGGAATGAGTACATAAATTAAATCTATCCACGATAACTTCACTTTTTAATTTCTTCATAGGAAGGGCCATTTTATTTCCACCTGAAAAGAGCAAGCATGAATGAGAAAAAGACTTTTTCATAATTACAATATTCACTAAACTGTCAATTAAAATTATTTCTTAGATTGTGACTATCAAGTACATCAAATACATCTCAAACTAAATATAATTTATTTATATTCAAAATTTCATAAAGTAATGCAGTTTACAAAATGCAAGCATTATTATACAACTAATCAGAAGAAAGATGTTGGCCAGAAACTATTACCTTTATGGCTGTGAGTGAGTTTTCGTCTTCTTCTGACAATAGATCCTGTTCGTGATAATATAAGCCATCATTGATAACTCTAGCAAGTTCCCATGTAATTTCTGCGCGAGATGTGTGGTTGCCTATTTGATCTTCTCCAGGATGTTTTCTCAAATATGGTGGTGTCTGAGTTACAATCAAAATCTTGTTTAAGTCCTGGTCATCAACTTCATAATCAGAATCATTATCAGACCAATCATTAAGTGTGTTTTTTGGTCCTATTTGTTCCATCTCTTCATCAAATAAAAAATTAAGTTCTTGTTCTACTGGAAAATATAGCTGATTTGATGTCTCTTCACATACAGATACTGATTCCTGAAGTTAAAAAAAAACATGACTTTTATGAAAGACTGTTTCTATCACTTTTAAAATAAATGTGATATAACAATATTATAAATAGGTAACATCAAGTTTGTATGTTTAATGACTAGTTTAGCAGACAAATTCTAAAGGAAAATTTAGTAGTATTAGTTTGGCTTAATAAAAGGAATTACTAACGCTGGATACCACCAGTAGCTCACACCTATCATCCTAGCTACTCAGGAGGCTGAGATCTGAGGATCACAGTTCAAAGCCAGGCAAAGAGTCCTCCTGAGACTCTTATCTCCAATTAACCACTCAAAAACCAGAAGTGGTGCTGTGGCTCAAAGTGGTAGAACACTAGGGCTTGAGCACAAAGAGGCTCAGGGACAGCACATTAAATTCAGAGTTAAATAGAAAGCTAAAGAAAAATGAAATTTAATTATAAGAGGATTATAATAAAGTCTTTTAGATTTGGGATGGTCCTTAGATCATCCTAATATTGAACTGATTCTCTTCAATTAGGCCATGAAAAAAATGCCAGAAAGGGGCAACATTGTCTGAAAAGAAATGTACTCTTTACCTAATTACATTATTGTAATACCTCTATATATTGTCTTTATAATAATAAAAAGGGGAGAGACACCTAGAGCGGTGAACTTATTTTGCCCATTAATTCAGAATTTGAACATAGAATCTTGCACTTGCTCAGCTGGCATTATACTTCTTAATCTACGCTCCCAGCCCTGTTTGTTTTTCACTTGTAGGTTATTTTGGAGATGGGAGTCTAGGGACTTTTCTGCCTGAGAGAGCTTCCAACCTTGATCCTCTGGTTCTCAGCTAGGATTACACGACGTGAGCCATCATGTTTTTTGGCTAGAACCCACTAATCAGCTAGAAACTAAGTCTTTGTACTTTCAGGTTCAGTGTCCTTTGATAGTCTAAAACTGCTTTCATATCTGCATATGTGTATATATAGTTAAATATATGTATTTGTATGTGGACATATGTGTAAATACATGGGCTACTGAAGCTCTTGATTGGCCTTTTCTGCTCAAGGTTGATGCTCTACTACTTCAGCAAATAGTCCAATTCCAGCTTTTTGCTGGCTAATTGGACCTAAGAGTACCCTACATTTGCCTAAATTGGCTCTGACCTCAATCTTCACATCTCAGCCTCCTGAGTAGCAAGAACTGCAGGCAGGAGCTATACTGGCACCAGTTAATCTGATTGCCTTTCATCTCACAATACAATAGTCTCTTAGTTGATCCCTCTACACGGCTCCCTGTCCCACCCTAATTGTCCCGATTTTCTCGTCATCTTTCACTGTCACTCTGCTTTTCCCCCAAGGCTAGTGCTCTATCAGCTGAACCAAACCTCCACGTCTGGCATTTTGCTAGTTAATTAGAGGTAATCAGAGTCCCAGAGACTCTTCTTCCCAGGCTGATCCTCAGATCTCAGTTTCCTGAGTAACTAGGACCACAGGTTATGAGGCCTAGGGAGGGAGGGAGGGAGGGGGAGGGAGGGA